GGTATGATCTCCACCGGGAAGAGCAAGGGTCACGTAGTTCCTTCCCGAGGTCAACATGTACGTCAGAAAGTGTTAACTCACTAAATGCTAATTATACTCTGACGTCACTGTAAAAAAAATGAAAGTTGTGATAAAGCAACTTTCGTTTTGTGGTATCCTGAAATATTGAAAGTTGACAGCCTACAAGGATATCACTGAAATATTGAAAGTTGACAGCCTACTAGGATATCACTGAAATATTGAAAGTTGACAGCCTACTAGGATATCACTGAAATATTGAAAGTTGACAGCCTACAAGGATATCAGTCCTGATCCGCTCTCCACGTGCACATATTTAAGAATGAGTATGTTGTTCACAACTGTACTAAAGTAAGGTAATGATGAGTTGAAAACGCTAAGCCAGTATGACTGCATAGCATTTATAAAAGGGATACGAGGACAATGGGCTGGGATCAACTGAACTATTCGCACACCCTCCGTCACTATGTGATGGAGCGCGAAAAGATACGTGAATTCAGAGACAGTTTTAAAACAAATGTCCAAGAGATGTGTAAATATTTCATTCAAAATGATCTGCTGCCAGAAATCTTAGCCAAACATCCCCAGTTTGCTAACTATAGGTAGTAACTAAGTGATTGTAACCTATCCACCGCTGCCCACTGGATGGGGGGCGGTGTGCCGACAAACATATCAATTGTGACACTAGCTCTCCACATATGTCAGTTGCTTAACTTAGAAACTGTACTTGTGGTCGATAGCAAACCCATTGATGATGTGACGACGTATATTGAATTTTGTAACTAGCTCATCAAGATTGTAACTTGCTTAGCTAAATGAATTGTGGGGTTCAGTCCCTGAGCCCATTATGTGCCTCTGTAACCCTTTCCGCAATCGCAAACAGGATGGGTATGGGGTGCATAATAATTGAACTAAACTAAAACTTTTTAATTATTTTTGTTCGATAAGAGTTTCACACCTGGTTGGAATAGCCTGACGTTATAAGTAAAGTATCTATCCCAGCCTTCCATAGCATTTTTAACTTTATTCATAAGGTAGGATAATTTTTGGCAAATTGCGACGCAGCCTTCTTTGTCGCACACCAGTGCGGTCTGCTGCATGATGCGAGGAGGACGTGTTGCTCCGCATCTTCGTGTTTGCACGTGGCTGCTGCAGCTAGATGTTGTGAATTTGTTCTCGACTGTTGCAGTGATACAGTGCCTTTGTGTATCGAGGAAATGGCTGAGGCGGTCTGCCTAGGTGATGGAAGATCCTGTACTGGGCCTGGAGAGTGTGACAGTGGGGATGGCAGACAGGATGATACTAGGCCGTATCAAGCAGTAGTAAACAGATATAAACGGAGAAATATTCAAAGACAGCGAGACGAAGACAGTGAGGAGGAAATAACAAAGAGACCAAAAAATGAAGACATGCTCAGCAGGACGCGGGAGATGCAGACTAATGGAAGGAAGAGGCTGTTGTTCCCTACAGCATGTCAACTGAATTTCCATCAAAAGCTGGAGTGGACGGTTCGTTTGGCTAAGGAGTTTTTTGAATATGAACCACTATTCAAGGAGGGTCTTCACCGGCCCTATATAACAGTTGGGACAGAGGAGGCCGTGGAACACCTAACGAAGGATGGGTTTGAGAATATTGTGATGGTTACTCCGGAAAAAGGTATGATGTACACCAAGGTCATAGTGTTTAAGTATCCAACTTATTTGGATCCTGATTATCTATTGCTCAACAATGATAGTGTTGTTTGGGCAAAGAGGAACAGTGTTCGTGGTGAAAAACAAAGCCAGGTTGTTGCCTTGGTAAAGGGTGAGGCTCCAGAAAGAATTTTTGTGCAAGGACTAGGCTACAGGAAAGTTGTAAAATACATTGAGGAGCCCATATTATGCATGAAGTGTTCTCGTTGGGGACATATGGCTTGGAAATGCCAGTTTGACTCCAGGTGTCGGTACTGTGGTAAGAAACACGACTCTCGAGAGTGTAGAGTCAAGATTAAAAACGGTGAAAAAATCGTCCCATCTTGTTGCAATTGTCGAGGAAGCCACAATGCTGGTTCCTATCTATGTCGCATGAAGCCTCATCTGAGAGACTCGAGGACGGGTGCTACAAGCAGGATAGATGTATCCTCGAAGGAAGGAAAGATTGTGCAGCAGGAACATGGAGGAAACAGTTGGAAGCCAATGACAGCGCCTATGAACAATGTGTGGGAGAAAGGAACAGAGACAATTAAGGCGAGCCTAGGGAAAGTAGGAAATGCAGCTGAAAAAATTAAACCTTGTGGAAACAAGGTTCAGGTCAATATAGTGAACTCTGAGGTTGGTACTCAAATATTGGAATATCTAAAAAAACTAGAAAAGAGGATTGAGGCATTAGAAAAATTAACTATGGGGGGTAGACGGGGTGAAGATGGTGGTGAAACAGGACGTGAAGTGGAAAGTGAAACAGGACGTGAAATGGAAAGTGAAACAGGACGTGAAATGGAAAGTGAAACAGGACGTGAAATGGAAAGCCAAACAGGACGTGAAATGGAAAGCCAAACAGGACGTGAAATGGAAAGCCAAACAGGACGTGAAATGAAAAGCCAAACAGGACGTGAAATGGAAAGTGAAACAGGACGTGAAATGGAAAGTGAAACAGGACGTGAAATGGAAAGTCAAACAGGACGTGAAATGGAAAGTGAAATAGGACGTGAAGTGGAAAGTGAAACAGGACGTGAAATGTGCGTTGAAGAAAGTAAGGAAGAACATGACGTATTGATGATAGAGGATAGTCAGGAAAATGAACTTTCTAGTAGTGTTAGCGTTCAACCTTCTGTAGTGACAAATGTCGAAACAAAGGTTAAAGTAAAACGGTATAGAGAAATAAGAAAGAAATTAGATATGAATAAGATCACCTTTGATGCTAGTAGCTGTTGTGCAAATGAGGAGAAAGCAGAAATGTTACAGTGTTGGGAGAGTCTGTCTGAGAAAATCTCGTATCTCATGGAATGTGACAGACAGGGCAAAGGTAGTTTTATTAAATCATGGATGAAAGTAGAGTGAGAATATTATCTTGGAGCGTTAATGGGTTAAAATCTAGTGCGGTGGATGTACACTATTATACTCTTAGATAGTACTATATTAACCTGATATGTTACATGGGATTCTTGTATTTGTACTCACTGAATTTGTGCGCCCCTTGAGGGACTTGAAGTATGGGAAGGGGTAGAAATAGCCTAAGCTAATCTTTGATTTTTTTTTTTTTTTTTTTTTTTTTTTTTTTTTTTTTTTTTAACTTGTCTCAATAAACCTACTTGAACTTGGAAGACCATTATGTATTAAAGTGTCAAATTATGGATAACCATAGAAATAAGGAAATAAGTAGTGTACCACTTCAAATTGTTTGGATGTGTGATAATGATATGATAGACAGAATACTTAGGAACTACAAGAATTTTGCCCCAATGATTGTAACACTTACTATATTAATATGCAATGTTAAATGTTGTATTGTGATTTGTGTATCTGTACTCACTGAATTTGTGCGCCCCTTGAGGGACTTGAAGTAGAGGGGGGTAGAAATAGCCTAAGCTACTCTATCCCTTTGAGATGTATTTTTTTCTTGTCTCAATAAACATACTTGAACTTGAACTTGAGGTTGATCAGTCCAGCAACCAGGAGGCCTGGTCGACGACCGGGCCGCGGGGACGCTAAGCCCCGGAAGCACCTCAAGGTAGCTGCCATAGTTTTCATGTGTCATTTTACATAGCCAGGAAGGAGATCTGGCTGTAAAACCTTTGCTGTATAATTTGAATACTTAATTGTCTTTTTATTACTGAGAGGTTATAACCTGGACTAATTATTAATAGCAGATTGTCTAGTGATTATATTTTGTTATAGTATATCATAATATAATTAGAATCATATATATATAATATATATATATATATATATATATATATATATATATATATATATATATATATATATATATATATATATATATATATATATATATATATATATATATATATATATATGTTTCATTGAATATGACCGCATATTCTGTATTTATTATTTTCTGGTTTAGGGCTTCTATCCCTCTAACTATTTTCTTAGCATCAGGGCTTAATTGAAATAGGAGTTCTCCAAAACTCATTTTCGTTTTGGGTGTTCGTTTTCGAACACCCAAATCACGGAACTATTTACTCTACCCACCATGAGAGTAAGGACAAGACAAGAACATATCGATGCCAACACAGAAGACAATGTCCAACATAACAGGCCAATTACACTGGATTAATCTTTGTGTTTGGATAGGAGATGCCTCGTATGGGCCAATAAGCCTTCTGCAGCCCCTATGTTTATCCCTTATGTATCCCCCCATGTTTTCACCTTCATTGTATTATCACCTGACCTAATGCGGGTATGAAATCAACTAGTATTGTAAGATCTGTTCACTTGAGAATGAACCATGGAGGTTCGAAACGTCGTGCAAATTATGCAAATAAGTGTAATACACTCTATAATAAATCACTTCTTTTCTTCACCTTAAAAGTACGAAAATGAGTTTTGGAGAACTCCTATTTCAATTAAGCCCTGATGCTAAGAAAATAGTTAGAGGGATAGAAGCCCTAAACCAGAAAATAATAAATACAGAATATGCGGTCATATTCAATGAAACATGTTTGAAAGAAAACCTGCTGCCAGTATACACCAATATATATATATATATATATATATATATATATATATATATATATATATATATATATATGGATCCACAAGGTCTTCTCTTAGTACTCTTTATTTTCTTCTCCGAGGCTATGGGTCCCTACACTTGCACCAGAGGTGGTACCCCTCATATATATTATTATTATTATTATTATTATTATTATTATTATTATAATTATTATTATTATTATTAATTATTATTATTATTATCATTATTATTATTAATTATTATTATTAATTATTATTATTAATTATTATATTTATGTTGATCCGCAGGGTGAGGACAATATAGAATACTTCCTGGGTCTCACTCCATCAGGAGTCATAGTTCTCAGGAACAAGGCGAAGGTTGGCAACTACTTCTGGTAAGTCTTGAATACTTCCACACACGTTTACAATTAATAATAATAATAAAAAGATCTGTAGTACTTGTATGTTTAAGTTACGGCAATAATTGAATTATAATTTGTTTTCAACGAATTTGTATAATTATAACTAGGCTACAACTCATTCTGGAATCATTTTATGTATCTCATTTCTCTCGATATATCTCTCTTCTTCAGCATCAGTCTTTTCCCGACCCTCTTTTACGCCCAACTAATTTTCTTTAAATGCTCTTTAACGCGGCAATTTGTTCTCCACGAACGATATCTTGCGTTTACATTTTTTTTTTTGTCTCCCAACCCACCTGAGCTGACACCTTTGATTGATAAAGCCTAGTGCATAATGAACACTATTGTCTGGTGGTGTAGCTGGTATTGTATGCCATGGTTGCGGTGTCCTGATGGTGGCTTGATTTGCATTTAACAGTTTGAGTTTAAATGCGCAACAGGATTGTCTATATAAAAATAATAAATTTGGGTTGAGAACAGTCTCCCAGCTGTGTCGAAGCTCAAAAATTCTTCAATCAAATGCAAATCAAACCCATCATGATTGAGGAAAGGTGTATAAGTTTCCTAAGTAAATGAATTCTAAATTCCTTTTAGACGGAGTTCTTCATAACACCGACCTATCTTACCTTACCTTAATCAGTTTATGCAAGAATTACATGTACTGTAATTTGTAACACTGAACTTGTAATGCTCCTGTTCAAAAGTTCTTTAAAAACTCTCTTGGGGGGGGGGGAGAGATATGTATATAGAATATTTTTTGTCTCCTGAAAGCAAGTTCAGTAAGAAATGTTTGCTTGACATTTAAAATAGAGATTCAGCCTTCATAAAATGTCGTATGCAAACTAGTATTGTAAAATGGCTTAATAAGTTTCTTATATTTAGAGTGCAATGCATTACAGTCAACGTTTCTGTAAATGTTGGCCACTCATTTTGGTTCTCACACACGTAGACTTGGAGGACTTCGTAGACTTCGAGGACACATTTGTCAAGCACTTAATTAAGGTGTCGAACTACGAAACCTGTACATTTAGTCTCGCTCTTGACAGCTTATAGTTTACAGTCTATAGTTTGACAGTCTGTATTTCTTAAGCAGTTTAGGAACTTGGAAACGGTGCGAGATAGTTCTTGACCCAAGGTTATTATTTTTATTATTATTATTATTATTATTATTATTATAGACAACCTTGTACAAATTCGGAGCTTATAGACTGTTTAATAAATGCAAACAAAGCCGTCATGATTCAGGAAAGATGTATAAATGGACACATAAAGGGAGGATAAAATCCTAAGACCTAGTCATCTTTTATATAAAACTAATATTTGTTTTGTTGTTGTATTAATAACCTGTGTTGTTCCCTAGGCCAAGAATTTCCAAGGTGTACTTCCGGGGCCGGTTCTTCATGCTTCGTGTACGAGACAAGAACGTGAGTATCCATCCAGTAGTCATAGTACCTATGGTGACTATAGATCCAGTAGTCATAGTACCTATTGTGACTATAGATCCAGTAGTCACAGTACCTATGGTGACTACAGATCCAGTAGTCACAGTACCTATGGTGACTATAGATCCAGTAGTCACAGTACCTATGGTGACTATAGATCCAGTAGTTACAGTACCTATCGTGACTATGGATCATAGTACAAAATATGAACTGTTGTACCCAAAGAAGATCTAGTATAGTACATTTACATTACTAAATTAAGCTTAAGGTTATGCATGATGTTGTTGTTATAGATTCAGCTACTCGGAACAAGTTCCAAGTAGCACGGGCTATGGTGAGCCCGTAGCTTACCTGGCACAGGAGCGGGGCAAGTAGCACAGGCTATGGTGAGCCCATAGTGGATTTACCTGACACAGGAGGGGTGCCGTTCTGCATGAATTAAGATGATGTGTTTGTAGCTGTTGGTTAAACATGATATTGTGGCTGAAAGCAACAATTTTTTGTATGAAATGTAATTATTGTATTTGTGGAGGCAATGACTATAATTTAGTATAATTTTAGATAATTTTATCCCCTAGCTCGCCCATCACGTAATCTTCACCAATACAGTACTACCTGTCATCTATCTTCCTGACACTATAATCCGTAATTTTTTAATCTGTCAGGGAGCATTCCATCATCAGTCACATAATACAATTGCCTACTGTATTTCCACAACAAGCAAGGTAAAGCACTCTTAATATAAGATTGTGTTTAATATATCCCTCTGTTTTCTATTTCAATTTTCCCTAGAATCTTAAGCATTGATATTGATAATAATGGAATGTTATAATTTTGTCAGAGTAAAAATAATTAGTTTTTCATGTTCTACATTCAGCACGAATATTATAGTGAGTAAATATGTCATATTTCTTCATTACATACGTAATGCTAGGAAGCTTTGGGTAGCTTTGAGTAATTAGGCGGACCACACCTACCTGATATTAGATGAACGTATAGCTAGTTTTTTTATCTACACGGTGTAAGCTTTCATATAGAATAGGGGAGCAGCACATTGCTGTGTATACCTAAGATTGTTAACACAAAAACAAAAAAATCCTACCTAGCCCTATTCCTTTCAAGAAGTTTCTCTGCCCTGCTTGTTCCCTTCAATAAGTCACTTAAAATAGCTACTATTCCATAATCATCTTCCATTACAGAACTCCGAGAACACATATGGGTTTGAGACGCCGAGTAAGGCTGCCTGCAAACACTTGTGGCAGTGTTGTGTGGAACATCACGCCTTCTTCAGGCTGACACAGGCCTCGGGCAACTCCCCAGCTGCTATCTTCTCCCTCGGCTCCAAGTTCAGGTACAGGTAGGATCACTGTGAGCGGCGGAGCTCTTGGAGAGGAGCTAGGTGCCTGAGTGAGAAAACTTCAAAATTGAATGACGAGTGTCTGGAACGCTGTCTTAGGGTTTTACACTAGCAAGCATATGCCGGAAATGTGTGTACGTTTATGGATGTATGTATGAATTATAGATCTCATTAAATCTGCTGATATACCTACATCCTTGACCTTTCATACTAATTTAGGGTAAACATATAGCTATCACTCAAAGTTAGTAATTAGAAATTCCATATAAAAATGCATGCATTGTACAGTATGGATATACATTATATGTATATAATATAATTTTGGTAGTACAGGATTACTAACCGCTTCAATAATCTAGTTTATTATTGTTTCCCTAAAGCATCTGCCTTTTCTTTATAAACAAGCTGAGGTACACAGTAGTATGGTGCTACCCTATTCTATATGAAGAATTACAGAATACAGTATTGATCAAATATTAGTTGTATCTTCATCTAATTTCCCATCTCATAAGATGGTTTGCTAAATTAAATTAAGCATGTTGCATCATAATAGGACCCTTCAACTTTAGTAAAGACACACATTTAATTGAATAAATGATATAGCTTTGTATTGTGCATATTTAATACCTAGAGTGCCAGTTGTCTCGTGCAACCAAAATGTCTGTTTAATGGGAATACTGGTATAATTATGTATGTGCTTAAATTGAATACAAATAAGACAGCTTATCTGTAGTCTAATATCTATTGTATTGTATGATACTAACATTAATATTTTGTAGTTTAAATTTCATATACTGTACTGTATATTACGGTACTTGAAGCAAACACTAATCAGTCTAATGCAATTTTGTCACCATCTTAATTGCAAAATAGGCCAATCATATATTTTCTTCTCCATAGGCTTCAAAGATAATATAATATGCAATGCTTATTACATTGCCGTATTTCTTTACTTTATTTTTTTTATCAACGTAGTTTGTTTTACAGTGGGAGGACAGAGAAGGAGGCAGTGCAGGACGCCAAACTTGGGTCACGGACACAACCAGAGTTCACCAGAATGCCCAGCAGGAGGTACCAACGGCGCATTGTGGAAGGTGCTCAGGACAGTAAGTCTTGCTTTAGACCAAAGTAATAACATGCTGGAATACCAGGTTAATTTGCTTGTGAGGTGCACATGTGATTTATGCATCTTTGGTGAGTGGACCATATCAGAGAAATATGCAGTTCAAAAAATGGTAAAAGTTACAATTGCATATACATTAGTGAAAGGAAATTAGAATCTTTTAAAAACTCTAAAAAAAAATCTATTACTAAATAGGAGTGGAGGGTATTATTTGATGTATTAAAGTTTCATAATTGAATTTGAGCATTTCAGAATTGTATCATTTGAGATATAACATTTTAGAATTATGAAACTTTATGGAATTATGGACAAGTAATGATTAGTGTCAATCATTATCATGTTGTCTAAGGTAATGTGTAAAACTGAAGGCAGTAAAGAAGTTATTATCATTCCATAATATTCCAGTTCTATATACTGTCCCAGTAATTTAATTTACTTGAATTTACCTGAGGGCCGTTAACTCTGTTGGCCTTAACAAGGACGGGAAGCCAGCAGCTTGACAAAGGCTTCCCCCCTCATTTGTCCTGATGATGTAATTGAGTTGGATTTTGAAATTTAACACATTTTCGGCTTTGGTGGATAGGTGGTTTTATGGGTTTATAAATCTATGGGTGACAAAGCATATCCTGCTTTCTGTCCTTCATTATGGCTTGTTGAGCTTGAAATCATTGGACCTTGTTTGTGGTACAACTGATATTTTAAAAGAAGTCTGGATCAGTCTTCTCCAAATTGTTTGGTATTTTAAGTTTCAATGAGATTAGTCCTGTCATATCTGGTTTGCAAGATTGTAACTTGATTAGCTAAATGAACTGTGGGGTTCAGTCCCTGAACCCATTATGTGCCTCTGTAACCCTTTCCACTACTGCCCACAAGATTGGTATGGGGTGCATAATAAATGAACTAAACTAACAGTGTTGTTAGCCCTGTGGCTCTCAACTGTTTCTGGTATGAGAGTTGACTTATTTCTTGAATGAATTTTGCCACCTGGTGTTGAACTTTCTCCAAAGCAAATGTGTCTTTCTGAAGATAATGTCTCCATGATTGGATACAATAATCTAAGTGGGGTTGCACCAGAGATTATTTATGAATAACTGCTTTCTTGCCCTTGAAGTCAAACACATTCTTGTATTCGGAGTGATGTGCTATTAAGTTTATTCCATTGCCACATTAAGACTTAGCTCAGTGGTACAGTACTTTGTGTGTGTTAAACAAAAGTACAATGAAAGCTTTAACAAATTAATAGATTGTTCAAACAAATCCTTTGAAACCAATATATTTGCAGCAAATAAATATCTAAATAGAGTAGTGTACTGCAATATTATACTTAATTTGTATTACAGTACTTTTCTGTAATTTAATTTAATATATACTAAACAATAAAAAATTGAGAGAAATATCTTCCATAGTAACACTGAACTATTGTTTGTTGCAATATGAAGTTAATTTCTGTTGCACTCAGTATTCATCCTGTGAACAGTAGCACAAAGGGGTTACAGAGGGTAAAAACAAAAACAAATTAATGACCTTAGTGGATGTTGTTTGACATTGGTTTTTACAATGTATATGTACACCTTATATATGTACAGTATATTGATATCTGGTAACAAAACACTGCTTGCCCTGTAATTACTTTGTATAATAATACTGTATAATATTACACACTGCTATGGAACCAAGTCGTTTAATGCAGTACTTGACATAATTTTCAACGTTGAATATTACAGGGTAATGAGTTTTGTTGTTTATGGTGCGTATAATATGCAATAGGGCTTACACTTTCTTAATGCAAATCTTTCTATTACCCATGCTATCACACAGAGGCTTTCCGCTGTTGGATAATAACTAAAGGCAAGTCTGCATAAACTGAGTTAAATATTCACATTTTCTCATTTACTAATACTGTACCAAGAAAGGGGTTGGTATCATTTAGAAAATGAGTTATAATAGAGATAATAGAAAATAGTTCAAAGACGTCTAAAAATTATTCCTACTCTATATTACTATAGTTATGATTTTGTTCAAATAACTATTAATTATAGCTTATCTGTTCAGTCTAAAAATTAAACCAGTGCAATCTAAAATGTACTCGTGTACAGTACTTTATTTTCCAGCATGGTAATATTAACTGTAATCTAATATCCAGTGTGCATTTGGAATGGGTTATACAGCAATACAGTAGATACTGTATTGCTGTATTTTTAGTTTCTTTCAAACTTTATAACTGTCTTTCATGCAGTGAAGGAAATGTCTTCTTGTAGAGATACATGTCTGGGAGAGTTCTTTCTCTTTCCTCAAGAAGATACATATATAGTGCATAGAGGATGCTCATAAATGTAATGAGGATGAATAGTGATGGGTTAATTGACTATTTGCAGCGCCACGTGTAGAGGATATTGAGGTGAAACCCGAGACTCGCAACACTATACAGTTGCCAACACCAATTGCTACGTGAGTCAGCCAGCATTGCTTAAGAGATTTACTTTGAATTGTTTAAAGTGTCACATATGAATAATGTAGATTAAAATTCCATGTTGAGATTATTGTGACAATCTGAATGATATGTGTGTGCTCGATTGTTTTTTTCTTCAGAGTATCACACATGTATCGCAGCACTTCCATGACATTAGCACCTCGTAGTGACTCCCCCCGCAGCACTCGGTCAGCACCTTACCCAGCTGGTGTGACAACTGGTGGTACAGCAACACTTCTAGGAGGTAGAAATGGAGATCACAGACCTCGAGGAGAATCTCCCAGATCTGTTCACTCTGCAGCCCCTGCCTCTCACAGCTATGTGGTGTCTCGGCGAACCTCCAGTGTAGACAGCCAATCTTCTGTTGATTCTCGAGGTCACCGCAGGTTTGTATTATATTGCTTAGAAAGTAATGTACAAATTGTTTAGCTTGTGATATCTTTCTCACATGTACATCTTAATCTTAGCATGGCAGTGGTACTTGTTGTGGCATGCTGAGATCCAACCTTATTGTTTTTTTAAGAAAAGAAGCTTTTTGTTTGTACTTTTTTTCATGAAGTATAGTTGTATTTGAGTGCAATTGTTTGTTTTACAATCATATTTGTATTTTTTAATGAAGTAACTTTCATATTAAATAATTTTCTTACTATATTCATACAATACTGGACAATTAGCTGTGGTCATTATACAGCACTATTACACAATATTTAGTAACAATATACAGTACTGTACTGTAACCCTGAAACTTAATTCACTTAATAATGAAAAGATACTGTAGTATAAAATTATAAGTCTTATAAATCCGACACATCATGTCCAACTTGGTGAGAACTAAGAGCTGTTATTTACCAAGACGTTTGGTTAATAATGGGTATGGTATAAATTTCCTCTCCCACCCGCTATAAGAATAAATAAACAGATTAATATAATCCTAACAAATTTTGTAGTTTCTCTTAGTATTAGATGTGACTTTGGGATGATTTTAGTTCACTGAAGTCTTGCAGAGTATTTAGTGAAGGGTTGTAGTGCTTAATATCATTTGAGCCAACATATTGAAATAATATTCCTTAATCTTTGTAATAAATCTGAGGATGTGAAAAGAGAGAGTACCAGTAACAAACAAAATGGCAGGACAGAAGATATGCATTTTGTCCTGCCAACTTGGACGATATTAGACCTCTTGCCCTAATCATGGCTTGGTGCTGAGTAAATCAACTCTTGCTTGTTTGGGTAACATTACTTACCAGTTTTGTGAATATCAGCTCATTTACATAATAATAATAATAATAATAATAATTTATTTGCAAGAAGGTACAGTGGGTTAGTGAGATTACATAAGATTGGTATTTGTACATTCATGCAAAGCCACTTATACGCATAGCGTTTTGGGCAGACTGCTACAAAGTTGCAGACTTAAAAAGTTGCTTACTGTAAATACTCTGATGTGTCATTAGTTACCAGGTGTTTGATTATGATGTGCCTGACTGTATTCAATATTATAAGATATAAAGCATGTGGCTCTGGAAAATACATAATATGAATGTTATAAAAGACTCTAATTTGGGCTGGTATAATAAATTTCCTAGTTTATAAAACATGACTAAAGATTTGTTTTAATTACTGTATAGTACTGTATAATGTACAATATAGTGTAAAGTTTTAGCATTAGTATATGCTTTCATTAGTGTAAGTAATATTGGTATGACTTGCACCAACACCCAAAATACAGGTAAAACATACATAAATAATAAAAGTGAACTTCTTTTGGTATGGTGTAGGCACAGAAGGAGCCGTGGGCGCTCGTCTGATGGGGAGAGTGAGGCAAGCAGTAAATGTTCTTCTAGAGGGCATCGTCGTCATAGACATCGTCATCATTCTGATGATTCAGATCATCATCGCCACCGCCATCGTCGTCGACGACATAAGTAATTTCAATATACTGGACTGATGTGTATACACACACACACACACACATAAACACACGCACACACATGCACACAGAGAACATGCGGAAACAAAGGTGGCGAAAAAATATTAGAAAGTTTTTTTTTTCTAATATTGGTAGAATGGTAGGCAAACAGTGGTAGACAGTTGAAACAAATTAATTTGAGAAGGTGATGGAGGCCAAACCAGTAGTTTCAAATCGTACAGTAGTTTCAAATCGTTACATGACAGAGTCCTGTACTGGGAAGACAGACAGGACACCACGAGCATAGCTCTTATCCTGTAACTACATTTAGGTAATTACACGAACAATCAATATACAGTAAGTGAAAAGTCAATGGATACCAAAACAATTCGTAGTTTCAAAGTGTCATGTGATAGATTATAGGGAAGTTAGGACACCATGAGCATAGCTCTCATTCTGTAGCTACACTTAGGTAATTGTAGACAGAGGGTCCTGTTTCACAGTGGACTAAATCATCGGCTCAGAACTGAGGATTGCAGGTTCAAGCTTTGTGGCAAGACAGAAACTACTGTAATAGCAAATGTGCATGTTGATTGATACATAAATACTTTGTAATGTTTTAAAGTGTGCATGTGTATATGTCAATTAAGGTTATTTATCACAAATTAAATGTCTTATAGTGAACTGAACTGTTATGAAAAACAGTACTGCATAACAAATACCTTGTAATTTAAGGTCTGGTGGCAGCATGGTAAACAGCGAGACCCAGTGGGCACAGGTACAGGCAGGGGAGGTACAGGTCCGAGGCAGTACAGCCACTGTGCGTGACCTTTCTCACAAAAGTGGTTATCAGCCCTCAGGTGTAGATACAGAAGCAGACTCCCACCATCACCAGCACTCCAACAAAAAACGACACAGGAAACATAGGTATGGTTTAATATTTGAGTTGATCTTTATTGGTTTTACTTTAGATTCATGATAAGTTATTTTCTATTCGCTTGGGCTCTAGGGGACTCGAACAGTGTACCCCATGTGTGTGTGAGGCCGAATCTCTATCGACCGAGCTATTGAGTAGCCTTAATAAGGAAAGTTTCCAGAAGCACTATCCTGCTGCCAAACTGGAATTTTTGGTTCGAGTCTCCTAGAGCCCAGGTGAATGGAATGTTTACTTCCACGGAAGTGTGTGGATGACAATTTTTATAACCTTTTTTATTTTGATAATGTAGTCTTTGAAGTCTGTGTAGACACACATTGATAATGATAGAATTTTTAACTACCAGTACTGTACTTCTTCCATAGGTCTCGATCACGGTCTCCCTCTGAAGCAAAAAATACGCGACTGCCAGATGAGCTTCGGCGACACCTGGAATTTGATCTTCAGAAGACACAAGGCCTATCAGAGGCAGAGTTAAAGGAGATTCCGTATACCAAGGTAGAAACTGCTAAAACCATCAAGATTAAGTACACCTCTCCAAAGACGAAACGACACAAAAGTCCACGACGTTCTAAAAGGTTGGTACAGTAAATATATTTGTTGATTGAAAGTTTGAATAATTATTTTATTATATTGCTCACCAGGCTGTGCTAGTACAAATGTTAATATATGCAAATGTATGTTATACATACATCCAAACAAACCAATCTTTGCCATTGTGCTTACACACTTTTTCACCATATTCCTGACCAAGGCAGTTCATAACTTGGTCTAACAGTACATGAAGACCAGTGCAGTTAGGTTGAGTTCTTCTAGTCTGTCATCATTGTTTAACTGGCTTAATTATCACTGGTATTAGTCTCATAACAACTTTTTGGATATTTTTTTTTTTTTGCTAGTGCTACATATGATAGAATTGGCTTGTCAAACGCTAAGTATAATATTATAATGTTCTTAACGATTCCTTGCTTAGGTTTCTAAAGGTCATCCCTATCTTTGCACATCTTGCCTAATTCTTTGCCTAATTCCATTGTCTTCTTTTTTTTACCCTTGCAGCTGCATTTTTCATAGTCTGTATCATCCTTCTTGCCTCCTAGCTACACTCCAAAATTTAGTTGCTTCAATATTGCTGGGATTGAAATCTAGAAGTAATTTATTATCCAAGCTTGCAGCCTGTGTAGGTTCTTTTGTTCAGTAGTACTATGTAGTTTTCATTCCTTTACCTTCTCATTTATTTTGCATCATCTGCAAATAGTCATGCAAGATATTATCTCTTAGGGGGTACAAGATGGGTCATTTGCTTGCCATATATATCAGGAACAGGCCCTGAGAGACCTTGTTTACTACTTCCCTTCACTTTGACACCTGTCACTGTGACTGGTCTGTGTTAGGTACATTTTACTCTAGTATCTAGTTTAATACCTTGCCAGTTATTCCAGGCTGCTTCTGCATTTTGTGCACCAGTCTTTTATAGGGAGAGTGTCTGAGGTAATCAAATGCTTTGCCAGACTTGTGGCTTTATTGATCAAATAATTACAGTACAGTTACATCCTGCAATAATACCAAGCCTTATAATATACAATACATATATACAGTTTAAGCACTTTCTATTCACTGTAACGATGAGCAAATTGCATATCAACTAAAGCTAAAACAAACAGAAAATAGGAGTGCATTATACCAACCCATATACATGTGAGTTACAGCTGATCTACCAGTCACCAAACAATAACAGTCAAGTGAGCATCCGTCAGGTACAACAATAACTCCAGTCAGGTACAATAAATACAACCTTTTACTACAGTGTCATAAGCTTTCTGGCAGTCTAAGAAGATTCTAACCACCCATTCTTCTCTCATGTCTGCCTTGTCTTGGTGACCCTGTCATAGAACTGTATCAGGTTCATCAGACACAACTTGCTTTCTGTAAAGTCAAGCCTTCTCTCGGTAATGACGTGTGCCCTCTGTAGAGATACTCCAGTCTACTTAATATATTTCTTTGGTACAGTACTTTGTTGATATTCTGTCCTGCTGCTGCCTGGTAAAAATTTCCTCCTGTTGACTAGCATTTTATGTCTTCTCCCAATGTTTCCATAAACTGTACAATATCTTTACACACAGAGATCACACTAACGTGATGCATCAAATGAACAAATCCTCGTCACGGCCCTTGTGGATTTGTGCAATATCTTGTTTCTCACATGTCGATGGTGGCTGGTCCAAACTGCCTTAATTATTTTTCCTTTGCCTGTTTTTAATCACAAAGACAGTAGAAGAATTTGCCTTTTGAAATGTAACCAAGTGTCCATTTCACCAGCAACTCAAGTGATCGCAAGGCTACTCCTCCAGCTGATGGTGAATCTCCACCTCCACCATACACTCCCTCGCCTGCAGGCAAGACCAATACATTACCCAAAGCCAGTCATAAGGTTGGTACTAATTCATATTTAAGTTGAGTTGACTTAGTGCAATATATCTTTGTTGTAATGGAAAATTACAAATTAGTGTAGTACAATGAAAATAAGTTGTTACCACAGCTGTCATAATTTTATTATTAAGAATTTAATGAAAAAATAAGTTATATGAAAAGCCCCATTCTGAGCAGATTTATTTGGCTGCTCCGTAAGGTATAATCTGGCGTGTTTGTAGGAGGGGATCTTGCACTGCCAGGCAGTATGATATTCTGACACTGGAGTCACAGGGAACCTTTTGAGCAAACCCTGCAGGGTTGTAAAAGGTGAATGGAAATCGCTGAGGAACATACAATCCACCTTCAACAGGAGGTTTATTCATGCAAATTCAAAGCCTTTTTAACTCGTCTCATGGCCAAATAAAATGTTCTCACTAACTTTCAGTTAGCTTTCCTGTTCACTGTTACAGACTGCCACTAGGGGACAGAACTATACATAATTTTTGGGAACAGTCGAGCACAATTAGCTTTTTTCCTGAAGGGACTATATTAGTAGCTCTTTAATACAGAAATCAACTTACTTGATTTCTGGGCACCAGAAACCATAATTACCTGGGCACCAAAAATACAGTATAACATAACCTTCCAGGAGGGTACTGCTGTTAAGTAGTGGGTGTTGAATGTTGGGAAATTGATGAATAGTAGACATTTGGCCTTTAGGCTAAGAAGTCACAGAACTGATCACCCGTGGGGAGATGATTAAAAGCTAACACCCTGACACTCTCGGTGGGTCTTACAAAACTAGAACAGACCTGAACACATAATGGCCCATTGGCTGGCACTTTAAGACTTTGTGAGCATTAACATATATTTATTTAAATGCACATGACAGGGAACACATACGACCAGTGAAGTCAATCACCGAAATTATTACACAGAAGTGATGTGGTGGAGGCAGACTCCATACACAGTTTCAAATGTAGATATGATAAGAGCCCAAATGGCTCAAGAACTTTTTGGCAGATATATGGTAACACACTTGGCCCATACTTTGCTGGCGATTTGGCCTAGGTTCGCATCCTGGTAGGAAAGGATTGACCAGGTGCCAGTCCTTAACTGTATGCTTCTCTTCACCCAGCAGTGATTGGGTACTTTGTTGTTAAATGATTGGCAGGTCGTGTTCCAGGGAAACTAGTAGGTAAGGCTTACCATGAGCTAAGGGAAGGAAAAGCTCGCAGCCTGCTAACAGGAGTCGGCAATCATCTGTTTCTGTACCCCACCTGTTAAAGAAGAAAAATGCTAACATGGTTTTAATCTACAAAAGTGACAGCAGGGAAGGCCCCTCTTAATTATAGACCTGTATCGTTACCAAGTGTAGTAGTCTAAATATTGGAAAAAATAATTAAGACCAAATGGGTAGAGGTTACCTTGGTTACCTTGAGGCGCTTCCGGGGCTTAGCGTCCCCGCGGCCCGGTCGTCGACCAGGCCTCCTGGTTGCCGGACTGATCAACCAGGCTGTTGGACGCGGCTGCTCGCAGCCTGACGTACGAGTCACAGCCTGGTTGATCAGGTATCCTTTGGAGGTGCTTATCCAGTTCTCTCTTGAACACTGTGAGGGGTCGGCCAGTTATGCCCCTTATGTGTAGTGGAAGCGTGTTGAACAGTCTCGGACCTCTGATGTTGATAGAGTTCTCTCTCAGAGTACCAGTTGCACCTCTGTTTTTCAACGGGGGTATTCTGCACATCCTGCCATGTCTTCTGGTCTCATGTGATGTTATTTCTGTGTGCAGGTTTGGGACCAGCCCCTCTAATATTTTCCACGTGTAAATTATTATATACCTCTCCCGCCTGCGCTCAAGGGAGTACAGTTTTAGGCTCTTTAGTCGGTCCCAATAGTTTAGATGTTTTACTGAGTGGATTCTAGCAGTAAAGGATCTCTGCACGCTCTCCAGGTCAGTAATTTCTCCAGCTTTGAAAGGTGCTGTCATTGTGCAGCAGTACTCCACTCTAGAGAGCACAAGCGTTTTGAAAAGTATCATCATCGGTATAGCATCTCTAGTGTGAAAAGTTCTTGTTATCCAACCTGTCATTTTTCTTGCAGTTGTGACGGCTACTTTATTGTGTTCTTTAAAGGTAAGGTCTTCCGACATGAGTACACCCAGATCCTTTACATTGCCTTTTCGTTCTATGTTATGATTTGCCTGAGTTTTGTACGTGGTTTCCGTTTTTATATTTTCATTTTTTCCATAGCGCATGAGCTGGAACTTATCTTCGTTAAACACCATATTATTTTCTGTAGCCCATAGAAAGACCTGATCTACATCTGACTGGAGGTTCGCCGTGTCCTCCGGGAACACCCGGAGAGCAATATAATAACAGACACAGTATGGTTTTCTATTAGGAAGATCCTGTGTAACAAATCTACTTAGTTTCTATGACAGAGCCATAGAGATTTTACAGGAAATAAATAGTTGGGTTGATTGCATTTATCTGGAACTAAAAGAGGGTTTTGACAGAGTCCCACTTTAAAGGTTGTTTTGGAAAGTGGAACATACTGGAGGAGTGGCAGGGAGGCTTCTAACATGGATGAATAATTTTCTGACACAAAAAGGAGGACAGTAATCAGAGTAAATATATCAGACTGGTGAAATGTCACTAGTGGAATACCACAGGTTCAGTTCTTGCATCAATAATGTTCATTATCTATATAAATTTTCTACCAAAAATAATACAGAATTACATGAACATGTTTGCTGATAATGCCAAGATACTATGGAAGTTAAAAACTTAGACGATTGTCATGCTCTTTAAGAAGATTTGGACAAAATAAGTGTATGGAGCAGCACTTGGCAAATGGAATTTAATGTGAATAAATGCCACATTATGGAATAGGCTGAAAATAGGCCACACACACAACCTACAAATTATGGAAATAGTTAAAGGAATTCGGATAGAGAGAGAGAGAGAGAGATCTAGGGTTGGTTCTAGACAGAAAACTGTCACCTGAGGACCACATAAAGACCATGTTGCAAGGAGCCTGTGCTACACCTTCCAATTTCAGAATTGTTTTTAAATATATGGATGGTGAGATACTAAAGAAATTGTTCACAACCTTTGTGAGACCAAAGTTGTATTATGCAGCAGTTGTATGTTGCCCATATCTTAAGAAGCACCTCAATAAACTGGTAAAGGTGAAAAGACATGGAACTAAATGGCTTCTGGAACTGAAAGACAAGAACTATGAGGAGAGGTTAGAGGCATAAAATATGCCAAAGCTCGAAGATAGAAGAAATAGAGGCAATGTGATCACTATATACAAAATAGTTATGGGAATTGACACAATTGTTATGAAGAATTATTGAGACTTGGAACTTCAAGAACTAGAGGTCACAGATTTAAGCTAACTGAACAGAGTTGCTAAAAAATACTTGAAAATTCACTTTCACAAACAGTGATAGATGGTTGAAACAAGTTAAGTGAAAAGATGGTGGAGGCCAAAACCGTCAGTAGTTTCAAAGCGCTATTTGACAAAGAGTACTGGGAAGATGGGACACCACAAGCATAGCTCTTATCCTGTAATTACTCTTAGGTAATTACCAATTGATTAACATTGAGAGGTGGGATTAAAGATCAGAAGCTCAGCCCCCATAAGCACAATTAGGTGAGTATAATTTGATGAGAACAGATCTCCACTGTGAGGAGAGGAAAGCAAAATTGAAATAAAACCTTCATAGCAATGAAGATAGTATCTAACTGCAGCCTAAAATATCTCACTGCTATCAGCATATTTCAATCCAGCAGGACTGCTTGAAATGTTCCTTGTGACCCCAGTACTAGAATGTCAGAGTGTCTGACTCTGCGGTGATACTGCACATACTCACCAGAGCTGCCAGAGATAATAGCTCTGGAAACTATTTTACAATATTTTTGAGGAAAGTAAACTAGTTTTATTCTCATTTTCAGGACAATTTGGGTGATGTAACTGGGGCAAGAAGCCCAGATGGAGGCATGGTTAACGGCACACTTCGTCCCCCTGGCCCAAGGTATATCCTTCTCATGCACGACCTCTATGTTTAACACCACACTGTTTACTAACATGTACTAACTCATGACGAGTGGATGAAACTAAGTGAACAGTGGCTGTGATGGACTTGTGTAATAACTGTGTTTAATGCTAAAAAAAACTGTTTGATAGTCTTGAAATTATGATAATTGGCACTACAGTATTATAAAATTCCACAAAATTATGATTTGTTTAAATATTTTAGTTTAGTTGTTACTATAGTTAATTAATTAAGTGCATTAAAAAATTTTTTTTAAGCTAAACACATGCAAGTGGTTGACAGAGATACTACAAAATTTGTCAAATTAATTTTGTTTGTAATTCATCAAGCGAAAACAGCTTTTCATTATTACGTGAATATGAGCTGTCATTATTATTATTCCTTTGGGCAGGAGCTCATAACTAAGAGCATATCATTCTTGTCGTGAAAACAGAAAAGTACAAACGAAGTAATTGGTTAAGCAATTATTCTAGAAAATTTGAGTTACCCTATTTCCTCATATTCTCCAAAAAAATTTTTTTTTAATTTTACAATATTTTATTGCTTTAAATTAACATCTACATGTATCAATAATCTCATAAATTGAAGACTCATGGTCATTCATAAGAAGCATATCAAGATCGTTAACCCCCTGACCTGCACAGCTATTGAAAAGTGCTACTGTAACGAGGTGTGCTTGACTAAAAATAGTTAACAAAAGGAAAAAAAAGAATTGCACGTAACAATTGGAGTAGTATAAGGGCTTATGCTAGTATGGATGGAAGGCTCATGAAATTTGTCAATGATTGTACTATTACAATCATTGAAGAATTGGAATAAACATTGAAATCCACATTTTAAAATAGACGTGGATTACAGTGTATTTATTTATATACACAAGATAATTGGGTTGTGAAAGTACTGTACATATGCTGGAGACTAAATGGCACATTCTTGCAAAGCCACTAATGTCAGTTTTGTCTTCATATTTATGAATCTGATGTTTCTGTGTGTGGTCAGGAATCCCATAGTGTGAGTGGGTATGTGTGATCTTAACACGAGCACACATTTGTTAATTTGTTGTTAGGGAGGGAAATAAATGTTGAATGGGAGAAAGCATTTGTTATATAGCAGACTGTCAGACTACAGACAGCATCTACTAGACAGGAAAGACCATCTGTCAGACTGCAGACAGGAGGCGTAATTGATCAGACTGTAGGCAGAAGACAGAATTAGTCATGCAACAAACAGGAGACAATGTCGGACAGACTGTAAACAGGGAAAAGCATCGGTTAGACTTAAATGACATAGTTGGTCAGACTGTGGACAGGAGGCAGCATCAGTCAGACTGCAGATGAGAGACAGCACCAATGAAACATACAGACAGTCAGGATGCAGAGAAAATTTGTAACAAATATAATAGCATGAGAAAGTGGGTTATGCCTTTAGTAGCTTTAATAAATTATAGATTATTTACTATTTTCATGTTAAGTTTTTAAATTATTTAATTGTTAATTATTTTAGTAATATGCTGTGTATGTACAGTATCTTATTTCTAGCAAAATTGTAACAAGTCAAATTTTAAATGTGGCAAAAACCTTGTTAAAATTAGTTTTGCTCTTTAAGATTGAACAATGGCTTAACATTTTTGCTTTGCATTGATTATATATTAGTTCCAAACAGGAATGAGTTTTTAAAATCGCTTACTGTAAAAAGTGATTTTTTTTAACATATATTCAGTATGTCATTTCCCTCATATTTGCCTATGGCAATGTGGTGTAATTCAGAATGTTTCTTAAACATTAACCACTAAACCATTTTGACATGTTTGTAAAGGGTCTCAGTAGCACAGTTGGGTTCATTCTCAGCTCACACTTGGGAATTCCAGGCTCAAATCCCATTTAGGACAGAAATGGTTCGGCACATTTCCTGTTACCTAATGCCTCTGTTCACCTAGCAGACTTTTTATAATGCCTATTTATAATGCAACTTATAATAAATAGGTATCCAGGAGTTAGTCAGCTTGTTCTGGTGTTGCATCCTGGGGAGGATCAGGAGTTTGATCTTGGGGGGGGGGGATGGGGGGGGGTTGTGGCAGACCTTGATGTAAGCCTAACATGTATGTTAGGCTGCCTAACACAGGCTGCCTATCCCTGACAAAATGAATGATTGTTTACCTTAGCACAAGTGAAGGAAAATGGACTATGAAAAGCTTTGCCGTGTGGTGAGTCGTTAAACAGATGTGCTGTATATTAAGCAAGGCTCTACACATTTTATTCAGAAATTGTAATTACACTTTTTAATGGCTAATGCACCAGGTTCAAAACAAATTGGCAATAATACTAATTAAAATACAGTGCTAAGTGAATATCAGTAATTCTGATAAATGTACATGAAAAAATTCCAATTATGTTAATTACTGTATTCAATAAAAATTGGTATACTGTAGCAATATAAAGAGTTTCTTCATGAATGAAAGAAGCATGTCTTCACTTGTATGCCTTTGTAACTTGTAAGAGATTACGTGTAGGAAATATGACGTGACCGTCACTGTTTGTTAAACTTGATTTGGCTTTGTTTGCAAAAGAACTAGCTAATGCAACTTATACAGTCTCTGGGGACCACGGCCAGAACTTATACAGTCTCCGTGGTGTAGTGGTAAGACACTCGCCTGGCGTTCCACGAGCGCTTTGTCATGGGTTCGTATCCTGGCCGGGGAGGATTTACTGGGCGCAAATCCTTAACTGTAGCCTCTGTTTAACGCAACAGTAAAATGTGTGCTTGGTTGTAACAACGATTCTTCGCGGCGGGGATCGTATTCCAGGTACCTGCCCGAAACGCTACACGTACTAGTGGCTGTACAAGAATGTAACAACTCTTGTATATATCTTGTATACAAAAAAAAAAATTAAAATCTATTCTGCACTTTGCAAAGTTATTAATCGATTATAACCATTTAATTTATACTTCATGCTTCTCTGCTAGTCAGCTCAAATTTTGTTCTATTTCCAAAACTGTTGAATTAACTTTTGGTTGAAAATTATCTATTAGCTATAATTTATATTTTCAATACATGGTCAACATGCTTATACCCGTGAATTATATTTTCTTGCATAATTCACCAAATAATATTTAGGAACATGCTTCTATTTAATTGTTGATATGTCTTTTCTAGTCACTTACTTAAAAGAACAGTACATTACAGCATATGAAAGGAATTCCCATTCAGACGTGCAGGAATCTCTCTTCATCCAACCCATCCTCCTGTTTTGATAGTACCTATTGTGACGATAGTCAATAGTCACAAATTCGTACGTACTTAGCTTTTAGATAGTAGTATACTGTCTAGTAAGGAATTCTATATAAAAAAAGAAGTTAAAAAACTTACTTAAATATTCCTAGGCCTAGTACAGCACTCGTATGTACTATATTAGATCTCAGATATCGTGTATTAGGCATAAGAAGGTTAGGTTAGGTTAGGTTAGTTTAGTTTGTTAAAGCAATACAAGTAAAAAATTGTTTTCCGGTTTATCCAACTCAATAGTACCAATTTCTACTTTTTAATTTCATCGTACGTCGGTATATATATATACTATGGTCCTCATCGTTACTATAAGTACTACCAAAACAGGAGGATGGGCTGCTTCATCACAGCTAGAGAGTTCGTATGGTCCATGCTGTGGATTTTCACTAGGCAGAGAAAGCACCCATCATAGCTCAGAGAGAGACCACCCAGAAATTCTTGAATATAATTTCAGTTATCAGCCACATTAACAAATACTGTACCATTATTTTTACTTACTGGTAAAGTAAAAATATGCAAAAAATAAATAAGTAGCTGCAATTTACAAATAAAAAGTTTTGGAGTACAGTACTTGGTTCAGGGACATTAGGGCAGACAAATAATGTTTGTCTTATACGTTCTTATATTTTTTCTTTCTTTTTTTGTTAACTTTTTATCTTGGATTGCATCAAAACCATACAAACTAAATTCGGTGGATATGTATCCATTTTGGAAACTTGATTACATCTAATTAATATCAGAAATTACATTCAGATGAATCTAATAAATATATAAATAGTACCCAGTGCTACATATTTTATAAGTGTGTAAACAAACTCTTTACTTACTTTAGAAATAATATAGATTTTCATTTGTTAGCAATTTACCCATAAAGTTGTAAACAAGAAAACCATATGCAGGTAAATTCTTGTTTGTTTACTTTGTGTAAATTACTATTTAATTGTGTAAATTACTATTTAATTTTGAAATGGTAAGATTTAATCATACAAGCAATAAATGGAAATATTGTGACAGCAATTCTTAATGTACATTTCAAAAGAAAAGATAATCTAACTCAGCCATTACAAAAAAAAAAAAAATTAATAATTGCACAAGAACAGTAGTAATTAATTAGGCAAGTATCATTTGCCAGCTATGTCTGGAGATGTTTTGTGAAGTTGTGCAAGTCATGATTTCACTATATGTATTTTAATACTCCTGACAAGCTTTAATAGGGTGTTACCCACCTTTTTTATAAATCTATTATTAGTAGAAGAATAACAAGGATTTGTAAGTTTGGGTAATTGTATATTTTGCACGAAAGTTGTATTTATAGACTTTTACATTTAGCTACTAAGTACAGTACAGTATTTGTAAAGCCTGTAAATCAAACAATAAAACATTATTAATACAAATAGGTCTTTGCATAGGTCCTATGCATAGGCTTTGCATAGGCTTTGCAAAGACCTATGCACCTTTGCAGGTGCATAGGTCTTTGCATGTGATTAAAATGATCACATACAGTAGTCCTCCTGGCTTAATATCTTCTTTTGATAATTACTAGAACCCTGTGAAAGGTGTGCTTATGTGCACATTTTTTTTGGCACTTGGTCCAGTTATTGCCCATTTTTCTCTGATGCTTGCATCTTCATCATTGACTCTAGTGGAGTTTTGTGTTATTTTTTCCGCCAGTGAAAGTCTAGTGCCACTTGTCATTTGATTGTTTAGCATAGTGTTTCATAATTTCTGTAATGAACTGTGAGTGTTTTGATTGTGAGACTTCAATTATTCTGCATTGTATCTGAGGCCTAGGTGCTTTGTGGTGTGTGAAAGTGTTAAGCCTATGAGTACTGAGCATATATGAATGGGGAAAATAATTTTTGGGTAAGATGTGTGCTTTTTGTATGGAGAGGATGTAAGAGGAGGAGGCATGAACCTGAAAACAGTGATCAGTGAATTTGGAAGAAAATGTATTCATTGTACGTGTGAATATTAAAATGAAGGAAAGAAACTATTATATTACTGAAACGTGTTAAAAAAATTATGATTGTAGGAATTATTAGTTAATTGTAGGTAAATATCTTGGATTTTTCACTTTAATATATCCCATCTTTTTTTCTGGAACTTGGTAGATTACAAGTGTTTAACCCTTAACATGCTCGGGGTCTAATATCCTGCTATCCACACAGGCGCATGTCATTTTGAAAAAAAAAAAAAATTTTTTTTTTTGCTAATCTGTTAAGTTCTGTTCACTGATCACGGGAAAAATAAAAAAAAAATTATATTGTACTTACTTTTGTTGCAATAGAGCCGAGAAGCTCGGTGATGACGTCACAATCTGCATGTTCGCTCATGCAGTACACGCCCGGGAGATGTTGCGCGCGGTCCTCAAACAGCCAGAGTTGCCACAAATATATTTTCGCGCTATTTATTTACAATGTCTAAGCGCATTTTATCTAATTTTTTTTCACTAATTGTGTTTCAAATACTGTTTGAACATATTTTGTATGAATAATTGTTGCATATTTGAGTATACACAGGCGCACACAAATGTTTTCAATTACGGCAATATAATATGTCATTACAGTCTATTATATTGTATGTTCTGCTTATATTTGTATATATTTACACACACGCACACGCTATCTGCTTATATGTTTACATATTTACACACTCGCACACGCTATACACACTTTGAAGCACACTTAGAAGATTTCTAGACTGTGGTAGTCATTGAAGCAGTCGACAGCACATAATGGGATACCACACGTTTCACACCATGTTTGCACAAGCTTCCGTTTCTTGTCTCTACGTGTCGTTGTTTTACACACCAAGCAATCACGTTGGGCTATTGCACGCTTCACACCAGGTGGCAAATCCTTAAGTTTGTGTGCTAGGAAGCCTTCAGTGTGAGCGAGGCGTGGAGTACCAGCATGCTGCAACAGTGGGTTTATGATGGGCCACTGAATACCTGGGACATCTTTTGCAAACTTTCCTAATAACTGTATTGCAGCATCAAATACAAAGTCACGGAAAGTGGGCTTACGTCCAGTTCTCACAAGGTACATGTTGAAACAGTTCAGCATGCTCATGTCCACAAGATGGAAGAACACTTTTTTCGTCCACCTACATGTCTTCCGCACACACTCTGCAGTGCCAATCATCATGTCTGATTTATCAATCAACCGCATGTTGATATTATAGTCTAAAACACAGTCTGGCTTATATAGTGGTGCGTTTGTTTTATGGCTCACTTTCCCACTGTTCACCATTGTTCCATCATGAATTGTTGTCAACAAGTTCACCTCTCTTTTGTCTTTCCACCGAACTGACAGAATGTTATCACTTTTCCTTCTCTGACACTCACCAACTGCAATGTCGTTGTCAAACACAGGCATTTCCCTTCGTTGTGGCTTTACTGTACCAACCAATCCGGTTCTATTTTCTAGCAAGAACTGAGCTAGCAAGGGACTTGTATAGTAATTATCTGTGTATAAAATGTGTCCCTTGTTCATCCACGGAGCCATGATGGTCTTCACTACACTCCCCGAGAATCCATGTTCGTCGTTACCGGGAATGTCTACATCACTAGCCGAGTACAGAATCATGTGTAACACGTATCCTGTCTCACAATCACAAAGAACAAAAAATTTCAGGCCAAATCGGTTTTGTTTTGAGGGAATGTACTGTTTGAATGGAACACGTCCCTTGAAAAGTATGAGAGATTCATCAACCACCAGCTTCTGTGCTGGTACGTAAAAATCTCTGAATTTTCCAATAACATCGTTCATGTAGTGCCTCACTCGCCACAGTCTATCATCAGGTGTTCGGTCCTGAACACTTCCAAAATGTAGACACCTGAGGAGTATCTGAAACCTGTCTCGTGACATATATTTCCCGAATAAAGGTGTTGGTATTGTCTTGTCCTTGCTCCAATAGTCATTTATTGCATGTTTGTGACAGTGCTTCATCAACAAACAGAGTGCCAAAAACACATACATTTCCGCCACTGTGGTATTTTTCCAACGCTGCAGTCGTGAAAATTCTGTGATTTCCCTCTCAATCAGGTAAGCAGCATGCAGGTTCGTTTGGTGTACAATGTATTCCATGAGTGGTTCATCATAGAATGCTGTAAAATATTCCATCTCAGCCATGTCCTCACCTTGATTAGGGAAAAGGTTTGTAATCCCTACATCTTTATCGTCAAAGTGAGGAATATTAGGAATAAAATCGTCACCATCACTCCACTCAAGTACACCAGGCGTCCTGCGAGATGCAGAGGAAAGACGGCGAGGAAGCGATGCATACCGGCGACCAGGAGCTGAATACCGTCTGCGAGAAGCACGGCGGCTACGTGCACGTGAGGTGGGTGCACGTGAACACGAGGGTCTTGGTCCCTCATGTGGTGCCATGCGGTGGCGCTTGGCCGGGCGAGATGCTGCTGACGCGACAATTTCTCGCCCAGTTACACCACTGGTACCAGCCACAGGCTCAATAAAACTTTGATCTGAGTCACTAAACCCAGAAAAGGAGTCACCTCCCTCTGACTCGTCACCCTCAAACAGAAAATATCCACAGGAACTGTGAGGTCGTGGTAGAATTGGGGTAGAAAATGGGCGAGGAGGCATGGGAGAGCGTATAGGCCTCGCCATGGCATGGCGGTCATTCTCACTTTCACTGCTGCTGCTGCTATCACCCGACAACTGTGTATAATCCTCATCGTTGTCTGAATCGTCAAACACACTTTCTTCACCTTCAGAGAATAATTCGTGGGCTATTTGCTCTGGGGTGAGGGACTGAGTGGTGCGTGCCCGTGAGGCGTTTGACCGTGCGCTCGCCATGGTGACTCTCGCTAAACTGAGGCCTCCCATGCCATCGAATCGTGAGCTGGATTTTTTTTCAAAATGGCCGTTGTTTACTAGAGCCCCTGGGCAGCGTATGGGACCCCCAGCTACACCGCGGGCCATTCAAATCGTGCGCGGTACCCATACACTTCATATGAAGTGAAGCGCAGTTGACTGGTAAAACGATTTACACTTCATATGAAGTGATGCGCACTTTAAGGGTTAAACACGATAGATTTTCAAGAACAATTTGTTTAGTTTTCTATATTACACTTCTGGTATAAGAATATCAACATTTTAATATGTAACAAACTTAATGTTAAAGAAGGTTTAACTGTTTACACATCTAATAATATTGGTGAATGTTGAACAGTTTTTAGGCAATTGTAAACAGTTTGGGTTCATTGCGTTCCACATGTCTACAGCCTATGTCTACAGCCTATGTTCTATGTCTGCAGCACAGTACTTTACTGTACAGTACTACTGTACTGTACTGTACTGCAGTACAGTACAGTACTCACAGTACAGTAGTACAGTACAGTACTCAACTTTCTTCAATACAATAATGTTAGCTTAAAATTTATAGTTTTCAAGTATGCAAGGAAGTGCAGGTGAGAATTATTACAGTGCAGTTTTTCTTCTTTTAGGGTAGAATTTCGTAACAGTTATTTTTTATTTTGTTTTTGTGCGGTGGTAAGAATTTGCGTATTTTAACTTCCTTTGAATTTGGGAAAAGATATACTGGATATAAATCTACTATTTGTGACTTAGCATTATTTGTGTATAGTAGTGCTGTCAGTTTTTTGTACCTTTTATAGCAATATTATTTCTGCTAGCTTTTTTAAATAAAAAATAGATTTTGCTATTTGCTATCAGGGTAAAAATGTTTTTTAGTAAATGTGTTTTGTTCACAGCTTTGTTTATTTATATGCTTAGCTTATCCAATAAGAAGCATGTATGATATTTTAATACAGCAACTTACTGCAGAAGTTTGGTTTAGTCCCCACAATGTCTTTTTTTTTTTTTTTTAAATTATGCAGTATCGCAGCCTGTTTCAACATTGCTAAGCTGGTAATTAATTAAGTGTTTATACCACAGGTCAATTCAAGCACCAGTCTCTCGTGTAAAGTCTTCTGAAAGCCATTCTTCAGGAGGTAACAGTAGCAGAGGTTCAAGTGGGGACTCTCCAGGAATATTTAGAAGCCACAATGACTCTGGAACTCACACTGGGGCTGCCAAAACTTCTGCATCCACCTCGACCAGTGCAACATGTGCCAGCTATGGGTTAGTTTCAAGTTTGTCACACCTGTTTGGCAATCCTGATTAGTGTATTTATTTACTTGAGTTTACCCAAGGGACACTTAACACTCTAGTGGCCTCGACGAAGACAGGGAGCCGTCAGCATGTCAAAGGTCCAACACCCCCATTGTATTTGCACTGAATATTTAGGTTGGAAATAACCCAAACCAACCCACACATATATAATTACTGTTGCATTTCAATTGATTCTGGACCCTTATCAAGTCATAACTCCAAGGTACTTATGCAACTAGTCAAGTTAGGGTTTCATGAGGGTCCAGATAAGATCGAAAGATTATCACTGTCTTTTCATTTCATAAGTGCCTTTAGCCCTGTTACTGTGACTTATTGATTTGAATGCATGTAGGTTGGAGTTAAGATAGTTGGTCACTTCTTGAACTTGTTATATACAATTTAGCTTATAAGTCATTGTTTCACAATAGGTTTGATTGGTAGGAAACCATATACACTGTAGTAAAAAAAAAAAAAATTGCTGCATGGAGGCACATGTCACATCCACAAATACGTACATATACAGTACTCACATAAAGTAAGAAAATCTGACACAATTTTAAAAAGCTGTAGGATGGAGAAACACATTAACAATGATTTACAACCAGTGTTCTATGTCTAAAGAAACAAATAAGCAAACATGAGATAAGAGAAGAGGCTGATGGTGTTGTATATGCCCAAATTAAATACAACTTTAAATGTTAATAAGAGAGATGCTAGCCACATAAACAATTGTAAAATGATATAAGAAGACAGACTGAAGGTGTTTTGAAAAAATGTAAATAATAATATTTGTAATAAAATATGGAAAAGAAGCTGGGATACTGAGCATAGGTCTTTGCAAATACATATTTATACATGATAACTACAGTACTTTAAAGTGTATCAAGGAATGATTGATGTATGAGGAAGATTTCATTACTCTGTATAGAGTAAAAACATTGACAGTGATTCTTATTATATAAAAATAAACTTAGCAAATCCTGTATTATTACCTGTAATTATGAATTACATAGACTGTGTTATCAACCTAAAATTTATAATCATACTTTTGCTACAAACCATTTAATAAGTTTTTTTTTTTTTTTTTTGTAAGCTTCACAAGCAGCTCTTCCCACAAGCCAGTGATGGTGAATGGCCCAAGTGTGAAGGCTCTGGTGACTAACAGCGCAAATGGGTCCTCGCCAACACTCGGTCATGATGCATCCAGTCCTGACTCCTCGGCTTTCATGGAGGACACGAGTGCAGGTTTTGTAGCAACCAATGGCTTTGTGCCTACTTCAGCTGCCCTACTAAAAAGTGGCACAAATGAAAGGGGATCCCATTTCACAGCTGTCCTAAAGTGAGTGTCTATTGTTTTATTGTACACCTGTGGTGCACTACAGATGTACCATATTAAATTGTCTGATTAAGTTGTCATTTAATATTTAGTTTACCTATTAATTTCACAATTAATTTGGTTGCATTATATATATATATATATATATATATATATATATATATATATATATATATATATATATATATATATATATATATATATATATATATATATATATATATATATGTCGTACCTAGTAGCCAGAACGCACTTCTCAGCCTACTATGCAAGGCCCGATTTGCCTAATAAGCCTAGTTTTTATGAATTAATGTTTTTTCGACTACCTAACCTACCTAACCTAACCTAACGTTTTCGGCTACCTAACCTAACCTAACCTATTAAGATAGGTTAGGTTAGGTTAGGTAGGGTTGGTTAGGTTTGGTCATATATCTACGTTAATTTTAACTCCAATAAAAAAAATTGACCTCATACATAATGAAATGGGTAGCTTTATCATTACATAAGAAAAAAAATAGAGAAAATATATTAATTCAGTAAAACTTGGCTTATTAGGCAAATCGGGCCATGCATAGTAGGCTGAGAAGTGCGTTCTGGCTACTAGGTACGACATATATATATATATATATATATATATATATATATATATATATATATATATATATATATATATATATATATATATATATATATATATATATATATATATATATATATATATATATATATATATATATATATAAATATTTTATTTAATTTTATTTTATTTATATATATACAAGAAGGTACATTGGGTTTGTGAGAATACATTGGACAGTACAGTAATTACATTCTTGTAAAGCCACTAGTACGCGCAGCGTTTCGGGCAGGTCCTTAATCTAGCAGATAATTTTAAGTCGGTAAGTTCAATCAGAATTGATAAATGAAAGATACATTACAAGAGAAAAATGAGATGAGAGAGATAAGTAATATAACAATGTGCTTTAATATACTTAAAGCTCTGATTGATTACATTGACAGCTTGATTAGTAATTTAAACAAGATTAATAGACACCATACAGCAGATTGACAGCACATATAAGACAGCAATGATCACAATGGTAAAGATGTTCAGAATGGGTACATAAAGATTGGGAGACTGGGTAGCAAAAGATACAGATAAACAAGATTTATAAACACCATACAATAGAATGG